GGCTTAATTTGGATTTGAGTGATGCAGCCTTCAGTTTTTTTTTTTTTTAAGTCTTTAATGTTTCTTAATGTTTCTTGCACCTACTGTTAAGGTAATTGGGGCAACCACCACCCCAGCCTTACAGGAAGAAGGAGCTGCCTTGCTCACACCTGGACGTGGTGCTGTGGAAAGGGCACAGGGGCAGGGAGGGAGGCTCTACCCGGGCCTCGCTCCTGGATTTCACCCCAGCGGGGTTTGGGCCTGTGCCGGGAGCAGGAGCTGCGGGGACACGAGGGCCGCGCGCTCAGCTCCTGCCACGCGGGTGCCGGGCAGCCGCAGCCGCACTTGACAGAGCGGCTCCAGCCCCGCGCTCGCCGTCCGCGTCTGCAATTCAGTTTTTCCGCTACCTCTTCTGGCCACAGGAAACATCACAGTCTCAAACCGTTGCCTTATCCAGAGCATGTCTGAGGGGAATGTCTCATACTTCGACCTCAGGAGGACAGCCTCCCACCTCTTCCCTACAAAAACTAGTCTACTAGACATCCCTCCACTTCATGCCACAAGGCTTTTCTTGCACAGGCCCTTTATCACTGACTTCATAAAATCAACACTGACTTCATACAGTGATCAAGTGGCCTTTTTTTCCTTACCATCACCAATTTTATCCCTAAATTCCCCTCAGAAGAAAGTTGTCACCGTCTTTAGTCAATAGGTGGGGACGCAGGAGGAGTTTCAAAGCAGAGGCTACCTGTAGTGGTGAGGCTGTTTCTGAAGAACCTCCTCTGAGGAACATGTGTTCACAGGACACGCCGAGACGGGGGTCTAAGGGACACGGGCACTCAGGACCGGAGCCCAGTCCTCTGTTTAAAAATACATTGATACACACAGCTCTGCAGACACAGCCAAGATTATATCCTCCTGGATGTGAGAGCTAGTGGTGCTTTCCATTTAAATCTAGGAATTCTGCAAGACCAGATTAAGCATCTGTGCCACAACACCATGTTTAACTGCCAAGTGTGTCAATGTCCTGCTCCTCCTGACCTAAAAAACACAGCTGCAGTGATGGGAACGGCAACGTTTCCAGCAGCCACTTGCATAAACAAGGAAACCCCGCGTGCAGAATCATCTGRTTTCACTTGGGCAACAACACACCTGGACAAAACCAGGGGACACTTGGACACTTCCTTAAGCTGCGACTTGCCACAACTCTGCTCACTTGGATAAGAAACTGAGGAACACACACTGTTTCACGAGCTACCTTGTCTGTAAATAGCCTCAAAAAGCATAATTAAATTATTTCCTTCAAAATCTGGGGCTGAAGCTATGAAGAAATGCCACCTACTCCATCCTTTGCCTCAGTCCCCGGCCCTGGATGGACTGCTGTGAATGTGCTGCCCATCACTTGCCTGGGGAGCTTCAGAGCGGCCTGGGGGACAGCAGGTCACCCTGCTTCTGCAAGGGCCCTAATGCAGGGGTGACAGCAAACTTTGTGCTATCGTTCGGGAGAGCTGCTTGCAGTTACTGCTGTCACAAAGCAAGTGTTTGAATCTTTAAAAGTGTGTTTCTATGCCAGTTTGGAAGGAAAACAAAATCACAGCATCTTTCACAGAAAGAAATCCTACAGCTTCATTGGTGCCCAAATTAAAGCAACCCCTGACAGGGGCTGCCAGAATCAGGGCTTGGAGCTCAGCCTTGTCTCACTGCTGTGACAAAACTGGATGCCTAAAGTTTTTCAGCAACTCCAGGGTGATGTTTTTGCCATGCAGAACTTCCTGGGAGGAGCAGAGCTGGTGTAGGCTTCTCGGTTGGGAAAGCCCAGACGTGGCCACCTGAGCTAAATCCCCAAGAGCTGCAGAAAGCGAGCGCATGGTGCTCCGATTCGCCCCAGGAAAGGACACTGGCCAAACCATTAAAATACACATCAGCATTCATAAACACCGACTTTCCATTTTGCAAGTGGAAAAATATCTGGAACATATACATCACGATATGCCTGATCTTATTTCCAAAAATCCCTCCCCCACAAGTACTTTGTTTCAGCCATAAAATACAGCAAGCTGCACTCTCAATGCATGATGTTTTTACCTTGAAAAAGATGCTGAATTTCTGATGAAAAAATTATACTGATAAATTATGTTCATTGTTCAAAACTGGGTCAATGCCCTTCTGCACAGGGAAAAATGAAAGCTAACTGCCTTCATGTTCTTATTTTTATTTATTTTGAAATAGTTAATTTATCCATTAGCTCTGAAAGCTGCTGGGATTGTCAGGCAGTAAAATTCAACTAAACTTACTTTTATCTGTTCTCTACCTTTACAAAACAGACTCAGTCCTACATGGCCATGAGTAAAAGACCTGTGACAAAAAAAAAAAAAAAAAAGGAGGAATTGGTTCTTACGTACAGCAGAGAACAGAACTTACCTGTTCTTGAGCTTTTAACTCAATACAATACTGTCTTTTTATATATTTTTTTTTAATAAATAGTAACTTTTTATTACAAAAACAGGGACACCTGGAAAGCTACTTCACTAAACTTAAAGGTTTTGTGTTTCCTATTAACTTAAAAATTATGTGGTCAGGATTTTACAATTTGTGGTTTCTTTTTAGATTGTTTTGGTTATACACAAATGTGCTACGTGAAATACAAAGGCAATAATCTTTCTCAAGCTGCTGACGACCAGGTCATTAAGGTGGCTGTCCACGTTTCCTAAACTAAAGAACATTGTTGGAAGAGGARTAACTTTTAGAAGTTAGGAGGTGACTTTCATGAACTCACGCACTGATGACGAGTGTGGGACGGCTGCACAAGTAATTCTTTGTGGCACACACAGAGGTTTGCAGCAGTTACTGTGGTCATGCAGAACCTCACTTGTTCTGATGTAGGGTGCGTGTCGCAAGTGTTTGAATTCWTTTTATATCAGCACATACAAGAAGGTTCAATCTGTAGAGCTGAGGTAACGCTTAATAAAGGTGGGGCAAGGTAGAAATGACAAATAATGGCAAACTGTAGTATATACAATAATAAACTCCTACATTTTACTGTTTGTTATCTTTAGTCAAGTAGAAGTCCATACTTCTGTGCTGTACATATCATGACTGTGCACACTAATGCCAATATGAATCTGAGAGCAAATCCCCCTGATCCTACTAATGAAAGCAACTCTGCTGCCACTAAGATTGTATTTCAAACSAGCCCAACCCACTCCTGCAACACATATGTTCCAGGAGATAATGGCTACTTTTTATTGCGTGCTGTTTAGTATGCAAGACTGCTGTCCAGATATACACACACACACACATTCACATGTAACTACTTGCCAGCCCCACAAATCAAAGGCACCTTTCTGCTGCTTTTTGCACCGCTTTTTGTGGGGCCCATTCATATAAAATGGATTCAGGAACTTCAGCAGAAAGCAGTCACAAGAGTCAATAGGATGCGACCCAAAAAAAGCTACGCAGGAATCACTTCTGTTGTCTTAGGGAATGTCCGCTTAGGGAAAGTCCCCCAAAGACAGGAGAAGCTCTGAGAACAAAATGGAGTGTGACCATTACTCTGTATTTCAGTTCTGCTGTTACCCACATATTGCATGGCTTAGGTTTGACAGTCCATAAAATAGCCTTCTGGCAGTAAAATCATCCATTCTTCCTGAAGAATAACAAAGGATATTAGGAGGTGTACAGCAAAAAGATAGTGGCCTAAACATTTTATCCTAAGCACAGACATAGACATTTGTTTTCTATGAAGTATGCACACATCAGTACTGTATCCAAAGGAGTTTTGCTCTGTTCTCAAAGCCAATTTTTATCTTCAAACCAGGCACAACAGAAGTTTTGACAACAATTTTGTGAATGTCATAAGTTCCTCCCGTGGCTACACCTTCCRGTTCGGGGTGAAGGGAAGGGCAT